AAATTCCTCCTGAGATGTGTGCGAACCTGGTGGCCAACTCCAGGAAACTTCTGACCTCTCTGATTGCCAACAAGGAATTTGCCACAAAGTACTAAGTCATGTTTTGTGAAGGGGATCAATCCTTCTTTCCCTCATGAACATGCAGATCAGTCATCATTTGTTAGACGCATTTCTGCTGAATTTGTTGTTGTATTCTGTCTCTCAGTGTTACACCAAACATTCCATTGTTAGACCGATCATTTCTGTGTGAGGGGCGAACATTCCATTGTTAGACCGATCATTTCTGTGTGAGGGCGAACATTCAACATCAGCCGGGGAGCAAATACGCATTTCCTTCACTGTAGCAGAAATACTGCTACAGGGCGGCAGGGGTGCGCAAAATCACGTGAATATACACACACACACACGACTTTGCATTTCCGGGTAGGGGACATGTGAGCTCTACCTGTGCTGCCATTGGTGGCCTCACTGGGTCCCAGGCAGTGATATCACCAACGCAGGAGAAACCTGTATGTGAACAATCAGATGCACTGAAATTTCAGTGGCCGAACCCACCCCTATTGGCTGATATGAAAATAAGCACCAATACAGGTACTGAAAATAACCCCGCCCGCCACTCGGTAGTTCTCGGCCTTATCTGAGAAACCATCGAACGATTCCTGCCCAGGCCAATTTCCAGCTTTCAGCGCTGTCGCACTTTGGATGACAATTGCGCGGTCATGCAACACTATACCCATATGAAATTTTTAGCATTTTTTTTTGTGACAGAGCTTTATTTTGGTGGTATTTAATCACCTCAGGGTTTTTTTTTTATTTTTTTCTTAAACAAAAAAAACCACTGAAAATTTTGAAAAAAAAATTTTTTTCTTAGTTTTTGTTATAAAATTTTGTAAATAAGTGTTTTTTTTTTTTCCCCTCCTTCATTGATGTACGCTAATGAGGCTGCACTGATGGACACTGATAGATGGCACTGATGGGCACTGTTGAGGAGGCACTGGTAGATGGCACTGATGTGTATTGACAGGCATCCCTGATTGGCACAGAAAGGCAGCACTGATTACCTTCTCTATCTCCTCGTCCTCACGCCTACCCCTCCAAATGTCGCACTACTACCAGCCGTAACCTCCGCAACCTTAACCCTGCCCCCCTCCACTCTGCAGCTGATCAACTCCACGACCGCATCCTCCCCCTGTCCTGCCCCGACTTGGCTATGACTGCCTACAACAATGCGCTCTCAACAGCCCTTGACTCACTAGCGCCTTTAACCACACGCAACATCAGACCCCGACCGCTCCAGCCCTGGCAGACTGATCACACCAAAACCCTCAAACGACACAGTCGTGCCCTGGAGCGACTATGGCGCAAAACCAAATCCCAACAAGCCTTCACCCGCTACAAATCTGCCTTCCACACCTACACCTCCTCCCTCCACGCTGCCAAACAAGCCTACTTCCTGACCCTCATCAAGACCCTCTCCTCCAATCCTCGCCAACTCTTCTCCGCCTTCAACTCTCTACTCTCGCCACCCCCACCTCCACCCAGCACCTCACTCACTGCCCTTGAGATTGCCAATCACTTCAAAAACAAGATTGACACAATTCGCAAGGACATTGCCGCAACTCACACGCCCTCTCAACCCTGTCCCCTCTCACACAGCTACCCCCTCATCCCCCCTCCTCCTCGCTGCTCAAACTCCCTCCAACCCTGTTCCCCCTCACTCAGCTACCCCTCATCACCCCTCCCATGGCCCCACCACTGCTCTGTCCTCCACTTCCACCCCACCCTACATTCCTCATACTGAAGCTCCCCCAACACTCCACACCTTTTGACCTTACTACCATCGAGGAAGTCTCCAAGATCCTCTCTGATGCCCGCCTCACCACCTGCTCCCTCAACCTATCCCCTCACAATTCCTACGACCTCCCTCCCCCTCCATCCTACGCTCCCTCACCCACATCTTTAATCTCTCTCTCCCTCTCCTGCACTTTCCCCTCCCCTCTGAAACATGCACACATCACCCCCATACTTAAAAAGCCCTCCCTGGACCCCAATGACCCGAACAACCTCAGACCCATCTCCCTGCTCCCATTTACATCTAAACTCCTCGAGCGCCTCGTCTACACCCGCCTAAGCTCTCACCTCAACGACAACCACCTCCTCGATCCCCTACAGTCCGGCTTCCGTCCCCTACACTCCACCGAAACCACCTTACTCAAACTCTCCAACGACCTGCTAACCGCCAAAGCTAATGGCCACTATTCAGTGCTCCTACTCCTTGACCTCTCTGCGGCCTTCGACACAGTCCACCACCCCCCCTCCTCCTCAAAAAACTACACTCCCTCAGCCTCAGAGATTCTGCTCTCTCCTGGCTCTCATCCTACCTGTCACAACGCTCCTTCAGCATTACCTATAATGCTACTACCTCCCCTCCCCCCCTCTGTTGGGGTTCCTCAAGGCTCCGTCCTCGGGCCCCTTCTCTTCTCCATCTACACCTCCTCCCTTGGCCAACTCATACACTCTAACGGCTTCAACTACCACCTCTATGCCGACGACACACAAATCTATCTCTCAACCCCCCACCTCACCCCCTCGGTCTCTGATATGTCGCTCAGTAGGTGTGTGATTCGGGCAGACTGGATGTCGCTGCACTTCCTTAAAGTGAACCTCTCCAAAACCGAGTTTCTTGTCTTCCCCCAGCCCGGACCTCACCCCCCATTGACTTCTCCATCACATCCAACAACGCCACCATCAAACCCCCCCTGCAGGCCAGAGTACTTGGTGTCATTCTGGACTCCAACCTATCCTTCCAGCCCAAGTCCAATCTTTAACAAACTCATGCAGACTCCACCTCCGCAACATCGCCAAAATCCGCACGTTCCTAACCCCAGAAACCACTAAACGGCTCATCCACTCCCTCATCATATCACGACTGGACTACTGCAACTCCCTCCTCACTGGCCTGCCTCGCCGCTGGCTATCCCCGCTTCAGTTCCATCCTGAATACTGCTGGCAGACTCATCCACCTTTCCAACCGCTCCGCTTCCGCCACCCCCCTCTGCCAATCCCTCCACTGGCCTCCACTCAGTGTCCTCCACCCCCCTCTGCCAATCCCTCCACTGGCCTCCACTCAGTGTCCTCCACCCCCCTCTGCCAATCCCTCCACTGGCTTCCGATTGCGCAACGGATCAAATTCAAAATCCTAACATTGATGTACAAAGCCGTCCACCATACTGCCCCGAACTACATCACTGACCTAATATCCAAATACCACCCAACACGCACACTCCGCTCCTCACAAGACCTCCTTCTCTCTAGTTCCCTGGTCTCCTCCTCCCATGCCCGCCTCCAGGACTTCTCCAGGGTGTCACCCATCCTCTGGAACTCCCTGTCCCAACCCATCAGATTATCACCTACTCTCCTAGCCTTTAGGCGCACCCTGAAAACCCATCTCTTCAGGGAAGCCTACCCCACCCCCTGCTAACTTGCCGACCTCCTCCACTCTTCCTACCACTCCATCCCCCACAGCTATCTCCTCCTGTGCCACCATCCCCTCCCTCCTAGACTGTAAGCTTGAAAGAGCAGAGCCCTCGATCCCCCTCATGTTTTGCATTGTATTGTTATTGTTCTGTCACATGTTCTGTCCCCCTTTGTAATGTACAGCGCTGAGCGAACTATTGGCGCTTTATAAATACTGTATAATATATGGCACTGTTAGGTGGCACTGATTGGCATTGATAGGTGGCACTGACTGGCACTGATGGGTGACACTGAAAGGCTGCTCAGATGGGCACTGATATGTGGCATTGATGGACACTGACAAGTGGGCACTTCTGGGGCCACACTGATCATCAGTGCCCTGATGATCAGTGTACATGTCCCCTCCGCGGAATGCCGATTACCGGCTCTCCTCTCCTCTGTCAGCGTGACAGCTCGAGAGGAGAGAAATGCCGATAACCGCCATTTCCCTGTTTACATGTGATCACATGACCGAGCCGACTTCTTCGGCTCTTTCCGTGATCGGTGATCCGCTGTGTCCGAGGGACACAGCGCACCACCAATTGACGTGCTGCGCGCTCCCTGAGCCGAGCATGCACAGTGAGAATGGGAGGACGTCCTCCCAGAACGAGGGAACCGCCTTGCGTCCATCATATTACTATATGGCGGGTGGTTAAGCACCGGATCAATGCTTTTTTTATTTTTTTTTTTTTTTTTTTTTTTTTTTTTATATCTAATGCTTTACATCAGTGGTTCTCAACCTTTCTAATGCCACGACCCCTTAATACAGTTCCTCATGTTGTGGTGACCCCCAACCATAAAATTATTTTCGTTGCTACTTCATAACTGTAATTTTGCAGTGGGAGGACTAGCGCCCCATCACTGATGTCAGTGGGATGAAATAGTGTCCCATCGTTGGTGTCAGTGGGAGGAATAGTGCCCAATCATTGGCGTCAGTGGGAGGAATAGTGCCCCATCATTGGTGTCATGGGAGGAATAGTGGGCGTCAGTGGGAGGAATAGTGCCCCATCATTGGTGTCAGTGGGAGGAAATAGTGCCCCATCATTGGTATCAGTGGGAGGAATGGTGCCCCATCATTGGTGTCAGTGGGAGGAATAGTGCCCCATCATTGGTGTCAGTGGGAGGAATGGTGCCCCATCGTTGGTGTCAGTGGGAGGAATAGTGCCCCATCGTTGGTGTCAGTGGGAGGAATAGTGCCCCATCGTTGGTGTCAGTGGGAGGAATAGTGCCCCATCGTTGGTGTCAGTGGGAGGAATAGTGCCCCATCGTTGGCGTCAGTGGGGGGAGGAATAGTGCCCCATCGTTGGCGTCAGTGGGGGAGGAATAGTGCCCCATCGTTGGTGTCAGGGGGAGGAATAGTGCCCCATCGTTGGCGTCAGTGGGGGGAGGAATACTGCCCCATCGTTGGCGTCAGTGGGGGGAGGAATAGTGCCCCATCGTTGGCGTCAGTGGGGGGAGGAATAGTGCCCCATCGTTGGTATTAGTGACACAAATGATGGGGCACTATCCCTCCCACTGACACCAATGATACTTACCTTGCTGACCCCTGCTCCAGCCTGGGCTCGCTCTCTCCCTCTCCCATCTACATCCTGCATACCTGGCTGCAGCAGCAAAATTTGCACTTACCTGTCAGCTGTCTTCCTTCTCTGGCCTCTCTCTTCACTCGTTCCTGCAGCTCCCTCGATCTTCTTCGATCTCCGCGCGCTGCCGCTCGGCTCCTCCTCTCCAAGCTCCACCTTCTCGCCGGTGATTGGCCGCCTGTGTGCCTCTCCTGAGCTACAGTTCCGGTGGCCAATCAGCGGCGAGGAGGCGGTGACAGGGGCAGCATATCATCCCGCCCACACATCGCCGGAGACAGGAGCGGCGTCTCGGTTCCTAAGACCATCGGAAATATGTGTTTTCCGATGGTCTTAGGCGACCCCTGGGAAATGGTCGTTCGACCCCCAGGTTGAGAACCGCTGCTTTACATTGTTAAGGAGAGATGTAGGGTCTTCTATAAAGAGGACCTGTCACTAATTATTTCTACCACAAGGGATGCATTCCTTGTGATAGGAATAAAAGTGATTACATTTTTTTTTTTTTTTTTTTTAAAGGGACAGTGAAAAAAAGTTTTCATTTATTTGTTAGTTTTTTAAAGTGCCCCCATCCCCCCATGCTCATAGGTGGTGAACGCATATGTAGGTCATGCCCTCATATGTAAACGGTGTACAAACCACACACGTGACAGCAAGAGCAATAATTCTCGCACTAGACCTCCTCTGTAACACTTGCAACCGGTACAAATCTTTAAAGCGTCTCCTATGGAGACTTTTAACCCCTTTGCGCCGGCCGCACACAAATGTGCGGCCGCCCGACGTCTGGGCCGAGCGGCCGCACATTTGCGTCCATGTAACTAAATACATATGTGCTGAGAGCGTGCGCCCTGCGCGCTCCCAGCACACATGTGTGGTACTCACGGAAAGGTCCCAGTCCGCTCTTTCGAACGGGACCTTTCCCGATCATGTGACCGCTGTGACGCGTCATCACGGCGGTCACATGATTCCTAAACCACGCCCCAACCGCCCCGCCTCCCGGCGTCTGAATCTCTTAAAGGGCCGGGAGGCGTCGGCGGGAAGGGGTTAAGTACTGCAGTTTGATGCCATTCCATAAGCGTGCGCAAATTTAAAGCTTGACATGTTGGTTTATTTACTGACCGTAACATCCTCTTTCATATTTTACAAAAAATTGAGATAGATATATATATATATAATATAATAGTTTTTTTAATCATTAAAGTGTATTTTTTCCAAAAAATATAAATTTATTTTTAAAAACTGTCCGTTTTCGGTTTTTGGCCAAGTGGATTTTCCATTTCGGCACCAGAATTTTCATTTCAGTGCACCACTAGTAAACAATACATATCTTTCTCCTGTCAGCTCCTGCACACTGCTATGTACAGCTCTGCCTAGCAGTGCACTTACAGGGTACAGCGCACACAGTTAACCCTTTGATTGCCCCTCATGTTAACCCCTTCCTGCCCAGTGCCATTAGTACAGTGTCCGTGCTTTTTTTTTTTTTTTTTTTTTTTAAATTAGTGGCGGATTACTCGCCTGCACCCGGTGATTGCTGAGTATCTCTGACAGAGGGGAGAATTTTTTTTTTTTAATATAATTAACTGATTTCTCTCCCATCAGCTCCTGCACACTGCTTTGCATGGCTGTGCATAGCAGAGCAATGCAACGCAGTGTGCTTACAGTGAAGCACACAGCACCCTATGTTAAAAAAAAAAAAAAAAAAAAAAAAAAAAAGCGCACAGCTAACCCTTTGATTGCTCCTCATGTTAACCCCTTCCTACCCAGTACCATTAGTACAGTCAATGCTTTAAAAAAAAAAAAAAAAAAAAAAAAAAGTACTGATCATTGTATTAGTGTCAGTGGGGATGGCAGTGACCCCGTGTCAGAATGCCCGCCGCAGTCCTGCTATAAGTCGCTGATCGCCACCATTACTAGTAAAAATAAAAAATAAGAATCCGAGTATCTATTTTTTTTTTTTTTTTACTGGACATATTTAATAGCACAACATCAAAAATATTGGGTTTATTTTCCTCAAAATTGTCGTTTGTTTTTTTATTTTTCCGTTATAGCGCCAAAATATAAAAACCGTACACGTGATCAAATCTCACTGAAAGAAAGCTCAATTCGTGGGGAAAAAAGCTGTAAATTTAATTTGGGTGCACCATTGCATGACTGCGCAATTGTCAGTAACACAGCGCCGTAACACAAAAAAAATGACCTGATCAGGCGGTAATCCTCTGGAGGGCGAGGGGTTAAATAAATGAAGTGTATCGAAATGTGAAATGATTTATTTCCCACATTGTATTTCAATTATTTCTAGCCCCCGCCTATTATTCTGAACCATCTTAAACATGGTGAAGACCCCACACATTTCCTTCCTGGAATTCTGGGACCTGGAGTCACTATGCCCAGTATGTAGGCACAGCCGTGTCACAAATTGCACAGAGCCTGCCTTCTGAGGGAGGCGGAGTCAGTACAGGAAGCACTGCTTGCAAGCAGCAAAGTACCATGGGATATATAGTCCTTATAAATGGAGGAGAAGCTGCAAAGTATGCTGGGAATCCAGGAAGTTTGGAAAGAGACGGCCAGCAGACCGGAAGTACTCGCATGCAAGGAATTTTTTCAGCTGAGCTTCTATTGGAATGTTGTGGTAACTTTTGTTTGGTTATTACAATGTTGATGTTCTAAAATGAAAGCGTGCTGCGATCAGAGATCTCCCTTAAGGCTCGGTCCACACCGATGTTGGCTGCGTTTGACCCGTTTCTGCATTGGGTTTTTTTTTCCCCCTTCATTTTCTTTTATTTATTTTTTTTTTAACCTCTTCCCACCCAGCCTATGGCCGAATGGCGGCCAGCAAAATCCCTCACCTTTCGGGGTGGAAGCCATATGGCGTCCTTTCGGGCATGCACAGTTTTTGCGCCTGCATAACCGCGCAGCAGTGCGATCTGTCACTGGCCGTGTACCTCGGACACGGCTGATGACAGATCTGAGTAGCGGCTCCGTTGCCGGTACCATGTGACCTGCTGTGACCAATCACAGCAGGTCACATGACAGTTGTATACAATGGATGGCTTCGTTCATGCCATCCATTGTATACTAGTGTGTCTAGCTGTGAATGGTCACAGCGATCACATGCACAAGCTGAGCCAATCACAGCCCAGCTGTGTCATGTTATTAGCCGTGGCCAAATCACATCTAAGCACAAGAAAAAAAAGAAAAACCCTGAATGAATCGAAGTCATTCAGGTAAATGCTTGCTTATAGCAAAGTAATTCTTTGCTATAAGCAAATTGTGAAAAAAAAAAAAAAAAATACTGATCACTTCTGCAAAATAGTACAATGTTACTATGGTAACATTGTACTACTTTGGGCATAGTGAGATATGAAAAAAGTAATAAAATTAAAAAATTATAATTTTTCATACTGCCACCAGTCAGTGTCCCTGATCACCGCCATGCCAGTTATATGATGACGCTGTACTGCACTGGTGACAATATGTAAAAAAAAAAAAAAAAAAGTGAAAACATTTTTAATTTTTTCATTTTCCGAAAAATTATGACAAAAAAAAATACAACTTCAAAAAATTTTTCATGCCTCTTATGAAGTATGGCGGACTGTCTACTCTGCAAAAAGGGGTCATTTGGGGGATATCTGTACCGTTCTGACATTTGGGGGATATCTGTACCATTCTGACATTTGGGGGATATCTGTACCGTCCTGACATTGGGGGGATATCTGTACCGTCCTGACATTTGGGGGATATCTGTACCGTCCTGACATTGGGGGGATATCTGTACCGTCCTGACATTGGGGGGATATCTGTACCGTTCTGACATTGGGGGGATATCTGTACCGTCCTGACATTTTGGGGGGATATCTGTACCGTCCTGACATTTGGGGGGATTTACCGTTCTGGGGGGGATATCTGTACCGTCCTGACATTTGGGGGATATCTGTACCGTTCTGACATTTTGGGGGATATCTGTACCGTCCTGACATTTGGGGGATATCTGTACCGTCCTGACATTGGGGGATATCTGTACCGTCCTGACATTTGGGGGATATCTGTACCGTTCTGACATTTGGGGGGGGATCTGTACCGTCCTGACATTTGGGGGATATCTGTACCGTCCTGACATTTGGGGGATATCTGTACCGTTCTGACATTCTTGGACCCCAAGAAATTAGATTGGCTGTCAGTACTTCAGGATTGATCAATATTCAGATCTATACCATAGTTTGTGAACTCAAAGAGTGGATGCGGTGAATGTGGGGTCCGGGGAGAGCGGATACGGTACGGTGAATGGTGAATGCGGAGTCCCGGGTTTAGTAACATGCAGAGCTGCTGCTGAGGGGGTGTTTCAGGAGCATCTTGCACCGGATGTCGTGTATAATTCGGTCTTCAGGATTCTACAACACAACTGACACAAAGGCAATTAACATGCAAGCTTATATGGCCGATTATAAGAATGGACAGAAAGTGAAAAAGAAAAATCTGTACAAATGTGCACTGCAGCCTTACAGCGGAGTTCCACCCAATTTTTGAAGTTCCGACGCATATTACCTTTTTTGTCCAATAAACAGATCTACATCCGCTGTCCCTCGCTGCGTCAAGATGCATCATATCCGGTCGCCCATTGGCTCCTGGGATATAAGTGCCATCAATCCCAGGAGTCGCTGGGCAGCCTCCGCTTCCAGCATGGTGGTATTTCCAACCTGGGAATGATGAGATGTCAGGTGGAGATAAGCAGAGATGACTGCGCCGCTCTTTGCACGCACTGCGCCTACGTGAGATCGGGAGGTGCATGCTGGGTAGCCGGCAACACCATACCCCAGAAGGAGCTATGGGTGAGCTTCAGATGCCCACCGTGAAGATAGGAGTGCACTTGCTACAGAGAGTACATTGTATAACAATAAACACTACATTTAGTACAGATGTCGGAATGTAATATATAAGCTGCGACCATCGCGGGGGATTTTTTAGGAGAAGAAAA